AAACACTGTAAAGAGTAAGTGAAATTAGCTAAGTACCAGGATATGAATTCACTATATTGTTGATGTTGATGTGCCATTGAGTCAGTACTAACAAATAGATGGCGCTCCAGTGGGTTTCCAGAGGCTGTGAATTGCTTGAGAGATTGCCCATCTTTCTCCCGTGGAGCAGCTAGTGGATTCAAACTGCCCGCCTTTGGGTTGTAAGCATAACTCCTTACTCACTAGGCCACCAAAGCTTCCTAAGAGAAAAATACAAGCTAAATATTTTTATGTACTGTTGTTATTGTTATGTGTCATCAGGTCAGAGCCTATTCATAGCTGATCCTCTGGTGGGTTTTTCCGAGGCTGTGAACCATGTGAGAGGAGGTTGCTTGTTTTTCTTTCCTTGAGCAGCTGGTAAATTCATATGACCTGGCGGTGTAACTCCTTATCCACTAGACCATCAGAGTTCCTTTTGATGGGAAGTTGAAAATTTATTTTTAAATGAATGGAAAGTTGAAAATTTGATTCTTAAAATAATATACAGTAGCATGAAAATATTAAGTTCTCAGGAATAAATGTCACAAAAGATGGGAGAGACTTGTATTATGGATTGAATTATGTTTCTTCCACTCAGAAAAATGTGTTGAAATGTTGAACTTATATCTGTAAATATGAATATTTGGGGAAATAGAATCTTTCTTAGAATATATTGTCAGTTAATCATACTGGAGTAGATCGGTCCTAGCTTGAATCTCCTCCGGATGGTGTATTATAAAAGGGGAAAAGAGACAAAGAGGGTTACGTGGGGAAGACAAATGCCATGTGACAATGCAGGATGTTTAGTCTAAAGCAGCAAATGACAGCCCAGGATTATTGGAAGCCACCAGAAACTAAGAGAGACGGAGAGGTAAGAACTAGTTCTTCTTTCAAACCCTCAGAAGGATTGGCATGGGTAATATCCTGATATCAGAGCAAACATGCCAATTTAAAGACTAAGGTGTGAATGACTCAAGCCATGGCATTTTCAATTGCTTCTTATGCATCTGACGGTTACACAATGAATACGGAGGACCGAAGAAGAATTGATGTCTTTGAATTGTGGTGTTGACAAACAGTATTGAATAACCTATGAACTTCCAAAAAAACATATAAATACATCTTGGAGGAAGAGCAAGCAGGGGCTCCTCAGAGATAACAATGGTAAGTCTTCATCTCACAGACTTTGGGCATGTTGTCTGGAGGGGCCAGTCCTTGTAAAAAGACATCATGCTGGGAAAGACAGGTCAGCAAAAGAGAGGATGATCTTTAAAGAGATGAATTCACACAGTTAACTGCAACAATGGGCTGGAGCTTGGTAGAGATCATGGGAAATATTCAGGACAGAGCGAGGTTCAGATCTGCTGTTTATGCTGCTGTTAGGTGACACTGAATTGAGTATGACTCATAGCAATCTTATGAACAGCTGACCTGAACCTTGCCCTATCCTGTGACATCCTCATCATCTCTGATACACTTGAGGTCATTGCTGAAGTTACCATGCCAACCCATCTGGTTGGAGGTCTTCCTTTCCTTTCCTGCCCTTCCATCTTTCCAAGCATGATGTTCCTTACATGTCTAAAGTTTGAAAGGTGAAGCTTCACCTCTTTTGCCTCCAAAGAACACTCTGGCTGCACCTTTTCCAAGACATATCTGTTTGCTCTTTTGGAAGTTAATATGTTATTCAGTATTCTTCTCCAGCACCACAACTCAAAGGCATCAATTCTTCTTTTGCCATTCCTATTCATTGTCCAGCTCTCTGATGTAAGCCAGATGATTGAGAAGACTATGGCCTGAATCAGGCGCACCTCAGTCTCCAAAATTACATCATTGCTCTTCAGCACTTTGTAGAGGTCCCTGACAGTGGACTTGCCCAATACACTATGTCTCCTGATTTCCTGACTGTTGCTACCAAGGACGTTGATTACTTATCCAAGGAAGATGAAATCATTGATAGCTTCAATCCTTTCCCCATCTGTCACAATACTGACTGTTGGTCCTATATTGAGGACCTTTGTTTTCTTGATGTTGTGATGTAATCCATACCAGAAGCCTGATGTTGTGATATGATCCATACCTCCTTCATCTTCTACAGCAAGGGTTTCATATCCTTCTCACTTTCAGCGAACAAATCAGTGTTATCTGCATTACACAGGTTGTTGATGAATCTTCCTCCAATTCTGATGCCACATTCTTCTTCACAGAGTCCGGCTTTGCAAATTATTTGCTCAGCATACAGATTGAATAGGTTTGGAGAAAGGATACAACCCTGACACACACTCTTCCTGATTTTAAACCACGCAGTGTTCCCTTGCTATTGTTTATGAGGTTGGTATAAGTTGTTGTCTATTCAATGGCACCTAAAAAGAACAACAATATCCTGGTATGGGCTTCTTGCCTCCAGAATGAAACAAAATTAGTGAGAAAATAAATTTTTGTTCTTTAAAGCCAACCATTTTGTGGTATTTTGTTATGGTAGTCCTTGAAAACTAGACAATCTGTATCCTTAAAATTTTAAAACATCACTAAAAAAAAAAGAACGGAAATTAATGCAGTGAAAGACCATCTTCATAGAATGAAAGATTCAATTTTGTTAAGATGGCTGTTCTCCTCAGATTGCTATTATCAAATATAGTCTTGATCAAATCTTTTTTGGGTAGAATTGATTTCTAAAATTCACATGGAAATATACAAGATCTAGAATTTAATAACAAAAAAGAAGAACAAAGTTGAAGGGTTTAAATTTTCTGACTTGAAGATTTATTATAAAGCTAGAGCAATAGGGACAGTATGGGGCAAGCGTCAAGATAGACACATCAATGAAACAGAATAGAGTCTAGAAATAGACCATTAAATGTATGGCTAATTTATTTTGGGCAAAGGTACAAAAGTAATCAGTGGAGAAATCTTTTTGACAAATAGTCAAGAACAACTAGATAGCCATGCCAAAAACCCAAACCAAAATGAAACAAAAAAATAAAACCATAAAAAATTAATTTAAAATAAATTACAAACTCAATATAAAAATTATAAAAGGAACGTAGCAAAACATATTTATAATCTGAAGTTAGGCAGTAATTTCTTAGATGTAACACCCTTCTTTCTTAGATATAACTCTCAAAGCATGATCCACAATAGAAAAAATTAATAAATTGAACTTGAAAATAATTAAATACTTCTAATCATCGTTAAGAGGATATAAATATATGTCTAGATTATAGAACAACATTTGAAAGTAACATATTACATAAGAGACTCATGTCCAAAATATATAAACTTTCAAAACTCAGTAACAAGAAAACCAGATTTCAACAATTAGTGAAAGACTTGAACAGATGCTTCACAAAAGAAGATTGAGAGATGTCAAATAAATGAAGCAAAACCATAACAGAAAATACTACATACCAATTTTTTAAAAATCCAGTTCCTTGTCTTTCATAGTGACTCATAGTGACGCTAACTCATGGAGCAGAACTCCACAGGATTTTCAATGTTTAAATTCTCAGACGTTCATCACCAGTAGTCTCTTCTGAAGAGCTTCTAAGTAGATGCAAATGGCCAACCTTTCAATTAATAGCCAAGTGTTGCAACACTCATGAACTCTACAGACCTATTGTTGTATAACACCACAATTCAAAGGTACCAATTTAGATTAAGCAGCGGTTGTTATGAGTAGCAAGTGACTCGATGGCACATTAACAACAAACAATAATAACATGCGAAATTACAATGGACCTAGTTTTTCTAGACCTAGTGATATCTTAACCCAAATGAAACCAAAGGATATGAGATTATAAAGACTTGCATACAAACTGTTTATTCCTTATTATAGCCACAAACTGGAAAAAAGCTAATTGCCGCTGATATATGAATGGATCAACAATTTTCTTGCATTCACTATCAAGATCATGGTAAGCAAGTGTAAAGTAGTTGAAGTGCTTGTGCCAACTTTGTTGTTGTTAGATAACTATTGAGTCAGAACCGATTCATAACCGACTTATTGCTGAACCTCCAGCGGGCTTTCAGAGACAGTAAATCGTATGGGGGGGGGGCGGGTGCTGCCCATCTTTCTCCCGAGGAGCAAATGGTAGGCTGGAACCTCGTGCCTTTGGATAGGCAACGCAGCTTCTTACCACTAGGCCACTAGAGCTACTTTAGACATACAAAGATTTTAAAAGATTAAGAGAACCTCTAAATAATTTCAGAGTTGGGTGCTGCTCAGTGGAGCAGGAATGGTCGTGGAAGCAAAATCTCTAGAATCCTCAGGCCAGAGTCCTGCCCACGAATCATACTGCCAGACATACTGACAGACCTCAGCATCTTTCAGATGGCCAAAGATCATGCAAACTGAGTTCTTTGTGTTTACAGTAGAAACTCCAACAACTGAGCATTGCAATATAACGGGCATTTCCTTCTATGACAGCTATTCAGAAGAAAGGTAAGACTTGGTATTTACGAGTCCACAGAACACCTTTCCGTTTTAGATGCCCAGATGCTGGCCGGCCGCCCGCTGGCGTCTCGCAGCCACGTGCCGGCCTTCAGCCGGGTGCCCCTCCCGCGCGGCTCGGCGGGGGCGTCGGAGGCGGGCCCGGGGACGCTCGCGAGTTGCTCCAGCGCGGCGCCCCCTGCTGGCGCCCTGATCCCTCACCCCGGATCCGGTCCCGGCGGCGCGGGGACTCCGGCCTGAGAGGCAGCCAGCGGGCGGACAGGTAGCGCGGTGCGCGGCGGGCGAGTGGGCGCGCCCGGCAGGGGTGAGT